TTTCTGTCAATATGGGGTGCTGTGTGTACATTAATGAGGAAAAAATGAACTTAAATGATTTTAGCATATGGCTGCAATATAACAAAGAGTGAAAAATTTAAGGGGGTCTGAATACTTTCCGTACCCACTGTACAATTGACTGATAATGCACTGGCTGACTGGACTAAGTCACTTACCACAAACGTACAAATTCAGCAAGTAAGGTGACAGGCAATGGAAGATAATATTATGGAGAGTATAGTGTCTGTGAACAGTTAATTACATTGTTGGGGAAACCAAGTTAAACTACAGCAAAACTAGTCTATAGAGAAATGTAGTTTGGAAAGCAGCATAACTACTTAAAAAAAAAAAAAGATCAGACAGACAATGTACATATGTTAAAAAATTATAACATAGTAAAAAAAAAAAAAACTCACTCTCATTTAGTGCCTTTTGTCAGTTTTGGGCCACATAACAACCAACCCATGTTTTTAGTTCACAATAAATCTTAATTATTTAATCCATATTGTGATATTAACAAAACAGAATATTTGTATACTGGTTTTGTCTGAAGCGTAAACAATGTTGATAATCTGTATTATAATATCCATGTACAAGACATTGTGAATTAATAAACCTGTGAATCTCCAGTCTGCAGCCATACATGATCATCTGGCAGGACCTGCATTGTTTCCACAATATTCCCTTTATTTACAACAGAGTAGGTGGATCTAGAGCAAAGTATATAGTTATCACTCCCTTATGCAAGACAAAACATTCATGCCTCAGCAACACCCTCCATTGTTCATGTTGGGAACTACAGTCCAGTAGATGTAACCACTGCAGAAGGTGCTCCTGATTTCCTCACCCTCCCTGGTGAGGCAAGACAGGAACACTAGTGCATGAGACAAAGTAATAAGATCAAAATGGAGCTTGTTTCTAAGAGTTCCAAAGTGCCTTAGTTCTTATTTTGAAGATTTGTACCCTTTCAGTGATTCTAACAAGCTCCTGATCCTCTCACTGGCTGGCTCTTGTCTCCGTTTTTTGCAACTTTTGATGCCTGTAACCTGTGAGGGAAGGAGGAGAGTAGCCAGTCCCCAAGGTGTAGCAGTCTCTCCATCTCTGGGCATGTTGCTTTCACTCTGGTGGAGCAGCCAGGAGCTCTCCTGACACAATGCCACAAAGCGTTGCAGCTGGGTGGTGTTGACGTTCTTACTGACATTCAGAGAGGTTTCAAAGGGGTTCTGGATATGGAGCGGGGCCACCTCTGGTTTGTTCTGAGCTTTGCCCTGGACAGTGAGAAGGGAAGTCAAAAACATAAGGAAACAACAGCCTTAAGTGCAGACCTGTATGTCGGTGAGCAGCAGGACAGACAGGGTGTGGCTCTGGAAGACAATTTTGACTATAGTTCTATAAAAGGAGAAGAAACAAACACTACAGTGATATGACAACCTCCTATAGACACACCAACTGTGCTAGCAAATGAAGGCTATACACTGTATTCCATACTTGTGGCCATCATGAGAACCATCAGCATGTGAGTCAGAGAGAAGTCAAAGCTTTCCATGGTATTTTGCATGCCATATCGCCATAAAGCCTGACAATAAAAAAGCTAGAGAGATAAAGGGATTTAGTTGTGGGGGGCAGGAGGGAACAGGGCTGATAACGTAAAGCTATCTGTCAAGGGAGTGGAGTAAACTGGAGAACTGTAGCACAGTAAACCAGATTTATGGCTGTTGCTCTACTGGTGAAAACCTATAGGCAAGAATCATGGTCAGTCTACTTGCTGAACTTCCTCTGCTGTGTCTAGCTTGATATTAGTTTCATATATTGGACTGCAGGGTCTCTCTTCCCTGCTGCACCATTTTTTTTTTGGATAGGAAGAAAAGTCCCGACTGTGGCAACTGCACATGAAAATCAGGTGTACTTTATCAACTATATTTCTGCTGGGAAAATTAATAGGTGATAAGTAGGACATTAATCAGTTACAAATTTTAAGACATAGGTTAATTACAGTTAGGTCTGCTGTCCCACTGGCCTGCAGTGAGCACACAAACCTGATAACCTCATTTTCATTTTATTTATAGAAACTCAAAATTCTACCATAGATGCTCTTTCACCACCTACTAAAAATTTTTACACAGGCACGAACAGAATACAGGTCTAAATAGAACATATGAATTTAACCCAAGGCACGATGGTGCTCCTTACTGGAATCTTAGCTCATGAGCACTGGGCCCTATGGGATGGATTACAAACCCATGACAAGGACAGCTGTCATCTATGCAGTGGTGCAAACTGGTGAGGGTCCAACAAGGTGACAACATTTTTCTCATCCAACACCAATGAAATGGCCCCCTGACGCCTTAGAAATATTCTAATACGCTAGCATAGCTTAAAACAAAGCATTTATTGAGAAAACAAGTTACTAAAATTAAGGCACATTTATATTTCAGGGCGCTGGTGTCCCTACATGAAAAAAAACATTAGGCATAGTTAGACAGTGCAGGCAGTGGTGGTGTTTCAGGTCTGCTGTCCCACTGGCCTGCAGTGAGCACACAAACCGGATAACAGCAAGTTTCATTTTACACTGTTTAAATTAGGATTTACTTACCATTACATACAAGTGACCTGCGTGTTTATTCAGACAGATTGACATCTAAAACTGACCAAAAATTTACATAAAACAGTGCATGTCTGCAAGGGGCTCGAATGTCTACTTACCCTTAAGTTTATCAACATAATCAAAATATAATGTACGTTGTCATCACTGAAAAAAATTCACTGACTATAGGCAACTATGTAAATGTAAGTAATCATATATACCTTTCTGATATTTATGGACATCTTGCTGAATGCAAAGGTGGCATAGAAATCAAAAAATTCACACAGCAGCCGCTCTGAAACAAGAAAAGGAAAGTGGTGTCAGCCTAAATGGCTGCTAACAGTGTCATCAATCCAATGGAAAAGTAGCCCTGCAGCCCCAACTCCATGCTCTGATGCTCACCTAGTGTTTCTGTGTTGGTCTGGAGCTGGATCTTGCTGAAGTCGCTGACAAAGGTGCAGTCATTCCCCTCAATCACACTCTTATCCGCGGGACCTTGTGGGACGAGAGCAGGGATACAAGGTAAATGATTGCCTTTACACCCACTGCCTATATAGCCATAAACGAGATACGAGTGGATGTGCTGGTGCATTCATAGAGAGCAAACAGCGAGACAAGAGGAGGGAGAGTGGCTCCATGTACATGTGAGTGTTTGCAGGTGGACAATGGAAAAAAAGGCACATGGAACATGTGCTTGATGGGCTGGTTTACATATCCAGGAATGTCCTTGTTACCAGTTTCCTCTACCACAATGAGGATATGTCTGTGTTACATCACTGTTTAAAATAGCCACGCGTGTGTGTTCAGAATGGACAGGGTCATCGACTTTCCCAGAGTGATGGGTCTTGTATTGTCCTGTAAGCACTCTGTGTGATAAAGGGTAGATTGCTTTTAGAAGGCAATTATCAGGCAGCCAAGGTGAAAGAGAGACAGAGGACTCAGCCAGAATGGTGTGGTGGTGGAAGTTATCCAGTACAGGGTTCCACAGTCGTTACCAAGAGATATATATACACACGCATACAGTGGCAAGAAAAAGTATGTGAGCCTTTTAGAACTTCATGGTTTTCTGCATTAATTTGTCATGTGATCTGATCATCTAAGTCAAGAGAACTGACAAGTATAATGTACCTAAAATAACAAAAAAATTCTGATTTTTCATGTCTTTATTGAACACACCCATTCAACATTGATTTGATTTTGATTTGATTTATTCATTCAAGCATGTAAAACAGTTGATATGTCAACACATGTAATTTCACACATATCCAACAATAATAATCCAATATCAATTTACTTATACCTAGTAATGCTTGAACGGAGTAGGAAGAAGTTAGACTTATCTAGTCCTACCCCATGACATCATTTTACAACATTCAAAATGGTAGTGGAAAAAGTAAGTGAACCCCTGGAATTAATAATTGGTTGGACCGCCGTGGTAGCAATAACCTCAACCAGGCGCTTCCTGTAGCTGTGGATCAAACATGCACATCATCAGGAGGAATTTTAGTCCATTCTTCCTGGTGGAACTGCTTTAGCTCCGTCATATTCTTTGGATGTCTCCCATGTATGGCTCTCTTCAAGTCATTCCATAGCATCTCTATTGGGTTGAGGTCTGGGCTCTGACGTAGCCACTCCAAAATGTGGATTTTGTTTTTCTGAAGCCATTCTGTTGTGGACGTGCTCCAATGTTTTGGGTCATTGTCCTGTTGCATCACCCAACTTCTACAGCAGGGGTGCCCACACTTTTTCACCTTGCGAGCTAATTTTCAAATGACCAAGTAAAAATGATCAACCTACACTAAAAATACTACACTCACACACACACAAAATATATGTATGAATAAGTGTCGCAGTTTTTATGAACAGTCTGAAAGTGCCGCTCCACATTTCCCTTATTTGCAATAGTGATGGTAGATTGGTAGATCAAGCAAATGGACCTTGAATATAACATCGCGAGAAAAAGTCCTCCTCCCATTCCGCATGGAATGTTTTCAGTTTCTTACCTGATTCGGCTCCCCCACTCATTTTATACCCTTTAGTAGAAATTAATTCGAAGGCTGACAAGGTAGTTGGCTCACTGGAGTTTTGCAGTAGCTTGTGAGGTTGACTGTGCTTGCTTGGTGACTCGTGTGTCAGAAAAAACAAGATCTCAGACTGGCTGCCCTGCATGTCAATCAAGTAGCAAATGCCATAGGGAGGATGGATGATAGGCTACAGACATGGACAAAATTGTTGGTACCCTTCTGTTAAACAAAGAGAAACTCACAATGGTCACTGAAATAACGTGAAACTGACAAAAGTAATAATAAATAAAAATTTACTGAAAATGAACTGACAGTCATTACTTTTGAATTGTGGTTCAACAGAAGCATTTTTAAAAAACAAACTAATGAAACTGGCCTGGACAAAAATGAAGGTACCCTTAACTAATTCTTAAAGTTTTTGAAATCACTTTATAACCCTTTCCAGCTTTATGTAAATCAACAATTCTCGATCGTAGATCTTCTGAAAGCTCTTTTTGGCGAGGCATGGCTCACATGCGCATATACAGTCAGGTCCATAAATATTGGGACATCGACACAATTCTAACATTTTTGGCTCTATACACCACCACAATGGATTTGAAATGAAACGAACAAGATGTGCTTTAACTGCAGACTGTCAGCTTTAATTTGAGGGTATTTACATCCAAATCAGGTGAACGGTGTAGGAATTACAACAGTTTGCATATGTGCCTCCCACTTGTTAAGGGACCAAAAGTAATGGGACAGAATAATAATCATAAATCAAACTTTCACTTTTTAATACTTGGTTGCAAATCCTTTGCAGTCAATTACAGCCTGAAGTCTGGAACACATAGACATCACCAGACGCTGGGTTTCATCCCTGGTGATGCTCTGCCAGGCCTCTACTGCAACTGTCTTCAGTTCCTGCTTGTTCTTGGGGCATTTTCCCTTCAGTTTTGTCTTCAGCAAGTGAAATGCATGGTTTACATCTTGCGGTGAACCCTCTGTATTCACTCTGGTGAAGTCTTCTCTTGATTGTTGACTTTGACACACATACACCTACCTCCTGGAGAGTGTTCTTGATCTGGCCAACTGTTGTGAAGGGTGTTTTCTTCACCAGGGAAAGAATTCTTCGGTCATCCACCACAGTTGTTTTCCGTGGTCTTCCGGGTCTTTTGGTGTTGCTGAGCTCACCGGTGCGTTCCTTCTTTTTAAGAATGTTCCAAACAGTTGTTTTGGCCACGTCTAATGTTTTTGCTATCTCTCTGATGGGTTTGTTTTGTTTTTTCAGCCTAATGATGGCTTGCTTCACTGATAGTGACAGCTCTTTGGATCTCATCTTGAGAGTTGACAGCAACAGATTCCAAATGCAAATAGCACACTTGAAATGAACTCTGGACCTTTTATCTGCTCATTGTAATTGGGATGAGGGAATAACACACACCTGGCCATGGAACAGCTGAGAAGCCAATTGTCCCATTACTTTTGGTCCCTTAACAAGTGGGAGGCACATATGCAAACTGTTGTAATTCCTACACCGTTCACCTGATTTGGATGTAAATACCCTCAAATTAAAGCTGACAGTCTGCAGTTAAAGCACATCTTGTTCGTTTCATTTCAAATCCATTGTGGTGGTGTATAGAGCCAAAAATGTTAGAATTGTGTCGATGTCCCAATATTTATGGACCTGACTGTACTTGTGTGGAGCAAACTCAAAAAAGATTTTAGTGGTTTTTATCCGTCAAAGTAGCTCTAGTCCACACCTCCAAACTCATTTTCTTAATAAGACTCCAGGTATCCCAACACCTGACTCCAATTAGCTTTTTTGAGGTCAATAACTCAAGGGTTCACATACTTTTTCCACTAGCACTATGAGGTTTGTATGGTTGTTTTCAATAAAGACATGAAAGATCAGAATTTTTTTTGTGTTGTTATATTAGCACATTATATGTCAGTTCTCTTGACTTAGATGAAGATCAGATCACATTTTATGACAAATTAATGCAGAAAACCATGAAATTCCAAAAGGTTCATATACTTTTTCTTGCCACTGTATTATATACATATATATGTGTGTGTGTGAGTGTGTATACACATGAAGAAGGTAAAGGCTGCCATTAAGTCACCTACAGGGCCAAAATTAAAACCACTGTAGGAAGAAAATTTAGCTCATTACAGATGACAAGTGCAGATTGACCCAAAAAAACAAAAAAAACAAAACGGTGCTAACAAAACTGATACTGATATTAACCATGTGCCACACACAATGTGTGTTCTGGTGCGCAGAATTTGCACCCTCAAGTGTTTGCATTCTGTCCAAAAGCACATTGATACCGTGGGTGGTTCACAGTGGCACAGTTTAGTGTCAATTACAGACTCTGTTTACAAAAGACCAGTAACAGACCGAAACTCAGATCATCCAGACTTACAAACTAGAGCGTCATCTCCAGGAGGGGCCATGGAGATAAACATCAGATGTGATGATTGCAGCAGAAATAGACTTTACATTTAACTCCAGTGATGCTGGGATTTAAACAAACTTGTTTTTACCTATGTACCTGTGAGTGACCAGCTATAAGTCTATATGACACAAGCAGGGCACAGG